ACAGGGTCTGGTTGGTATTTTACTACTACTTGTTTCCCATAGTAAAGCCCAAAGGGAGCGGAAATGATAACAGAACAGGGGAAGTAGCCATCTGTGCTGCTCATGCTTAGTTATCTGAGGTTAGAAGCATATCTTTATAGAAATGTCAAGATGACATGACCTACATTTAATTCCATGGCGTTATTTTTTTCTCTTTGTTTAATTTTGATAAAAGGCAACGTTGTTGTATGATTTAAAAATATACCATGTGTATGTGTATAAACACACGTATGCACATATATAAAATACATTATTGAAAAGCCTTCCTTTCCTTCCTCATCCTACCTTACCTCAGGTAACTGCTGTTAAAGGCTGTTGTTGTTAAGTGCCAATAATTGAGTTCCACCTCATAGCAACCCTGAACAGGGTTTCTGAGGAACAGCTTTTGTGGATTTGAACTGCTGACCTTATGTTCCAAAGTTCCATGCTGATCCTACATTGTCTCATCAGGTGATGTGTATTTACTGTATGCACATATAACAATGTTTTTTCACCTGTCATTTTGTTTTTGACATAATGGGGAGTGCAGTGGATCTGTATAATAAGCTTCTGGATTGTCAGCAGTTCGAGTCTGCGCTCATGAGGATTTAAAGCCTTGGAAACCCTTTACAAGGTCACTGTGAGATGGAATTTACTCAACAGCATATAACAACAATGTATCACACTTGCTTTTTTCACTTAGTCTTATATTTTAGAGATCTTTCCATATCAGTTCACAGGGAACCTTCTTTACCTTATGCTAATTGCCATATATGTGTGTGTATGTATGTATATATATATATATATATAATCTCTATATATGTTATTATTTTCTATTCTGATTTCCTTTTTTGTTAACTTGAGTGCTTTAGTGTTTTCTCTTGTTTTAATTTTTTTTTTTAAGGTAAAAATCTTAAATTATGAAGTTCACAAATCAGAAGTATTCGTTTCTATTAGATGTAACAAACACATGAAGAAACAGAACTTTCAGTCACCCAGAAAGTTCCTTCAGACTCTTTCCCAGTGTCTACTGCCAGAGGCAGTCACTGTTTTTTGTTTGTTTGTTTGTTTGTTTTCTTTTTATCACTTGCAATTTAGGTGTTGATGCTTGTAGGAATCCGTTATGGAATGACTTAGTATCTAGTTTTCTTTTGTTTAGCTTCTCTAGTTAAATGATCTCTTGAGGTTCATCCATGTTATTGTGTCTGTCAATAGTAACGTCTTCAAATTTGTTTTGACTTACTCAAGATCTTTTGCATTTTCTTATACATTTTAGTTTGTTGTTGTTTATAGAAAGTATCTTGCTGAAATTAAGATTGTGATAGATCTGACAAAATATAGATTAATTTAGGAAAAATTGACACTTAACATTATTGAATCTACTAATCTATGAATACAGTGTATCCCTATATATTTTATTGCTTTAATGTCTTATAGCAAGATTTTTAGTCATCTGTGTAGAGGTCCTCCCATATCTTGTGTTAAATCATTTTTCTAAGTATTTGTCTTTGCTTTTTCTTGCTTTATTATACTGGGCAGGACCTTTAGTACAATGTTGATTAGAATGAGTCATTGTTGATTAAAATTAAATAATTTAAGTATTTATAACTTTCTACTATAAACATTTGGACTCCTGGTGTGGTACTGTAAGGTCAGCACCAAACTGCAAACCGCAGGGTCGCCAGTTCAAACCCACCAGGTGCTTCTTAGAATTGACTCAGTGGCACTCAATAACAGCATAAACATTTAAGCTATAAATTTCCCTTTAAACATTATTTTAGCGTTATTCCCGAAATATTTTAAAATGTTGTGGACTCATCATTTATAGTATTTATATTTATTTGATTTCTTCTTTGACACATGGGTTCTTTAGAACATTATTAATTTACAAATATTTGTGCCTTTCTAAGTAGGTGTCATCGAGTAGGTACTGATTCATGGAGACCCTATGCACGACAAAACGAAACACTGCCCAGTTCTGGGCCAACTTCACAATCGTTTCTAGGTCTAAGCCCATCACTGCCACCACTGTGCCAATCCATTTCTTTGGGGGGTCTTCCTCTTATTGTTAATGATTTCTAATTTACTTCTGTTGTGGGAGCAGAACATACTTTGTAAGATTTCAGAATTTTGTAATTCAAGTTTTTATGGATTGCATATCTTTTTTTTTTTTTTAAATTATGTATACTTGAAGATTCTATAAATGTCAGGTCAAGGTGGTTGAGCAGTGTATAGATATATGCATTATGTATGTATTTTATTTTATTTTTTGATCTGTCTAATTAGTTTCTTAGGTTACTCTGACTTCTGATTTGCTTGTTTTTCTCCCTTTAAATCTGTCAGTTTTTGCTTTTGATATTTTGAAATTATATTTGTAGATACATATAGGATTACTATACTGCTGATCAAGCTGTCCTCTATGAAATACTTCTTGGTATCTGAGGTATTAATATTTGTAGTAATTACCTACTTTCTGAGATTCTATTATGTCTTTATACAAATATAGCCTCAGAAATGATAGACTTTAAGACCATGAATATATCAGGTATTTCATAGAGGATAGGTTGATCAGCAGTATGTTGTAGTTAAGTGCTGTCGTGTCAGTTCTGACCCATAGTGACCCTGTATAGGACTTCCTAGAGGAGCAGCTGGTGAACTTGAACCACCAACCTTGCAGTTCTAATTGACTTTGCAGTTCAGCGCATTAACCCACAGTGCCACACCAGGATTCCAATCAGCAGTATAGCAATCCTCAATATCATGTATTATAAAGCTTTGCCTTTTAATTGGAGTATTTGGTGTATTTCAGTTTAATATATTGTAATTTTGTGAGGCAGCTACTAAATAAATGAGAAATCTGAGGCATAAATAGATGTAATTAATGATAGCAGTTGAAAAGTATCTGGATAAAGGTTAGACCCCAGGTCAGTCTGCCGTAGCTTGATTACATGTTTTTAATGAGTACCATTCATTCTTCTCAGATCCCTTTCAAGGCTTGAATAAAACACGACTTAAGCTCTTCATGTTCTCTTTTAATTCTGGTTCTTGTGTTAGTCTCAGAGTTGCTTACGGGAAATGTGAAGGAACTGTTCTTGCATGTGTGATAAAAGCAGAATAACCTTTTGATCGACTTTTTTTTTTTGCTTTCTTTGAATGATTTTTTAAAGAAAGAAGAGTCACTCCATTTTTCTGAGGTTTAAACTAAGAGTTATAAGACAGAATTTAGTTCTGTTATGTGATGTCATATAGTTGTGATATAAAAAACATGGTAAGAATGATCTGTTTCTGGTCGATATTTGATAAATAGCTTTTAAAGAAAGGAGCCATTTAGGTCACTTTTTTTAGGCAGTGTGTATTTCAGAAAAAACGAAAGATCTAAACTATCATCCAGTTTCTTGTTTTTTTCTGACTTTGACTCCTGGAGCCTGAAAAGCAAGATAACCTCCAGAATATCTCCAGAAGGTGCTAGGTAGTTTCTGAGCAGGCTTTTTCTTGCTTAACTTTGCAGTATTTAGTTAATGGATTAGAACCTACTACTGCAGAGGTGGGGTCCATTCTGACCCCCAGACCCTCAAGGAGAGGAGAAGTGCTCTTCTAGGATTTCTGAGACAGAACAGCCTCATCTTTTCCCAGTAGAATGGCTGGTAGGTTTAAATTGCCAACTTGGTGGTTAGCAGCCACCAGAGTGCCTAGCCCCCTCCCCCAAGCAGGCCCAACCGTTTTCTTGTAGCTAGACTCTGATGAAACCCATGTAGCACTGAATTCTAGCTTAATATGATTGTGTTGCCCAGCTACCTGTCTGTACTTTTTACTGTTATTCTTTGAAATACTGCTTCAGTTAGATCACTGATGTTATTAAATGCCTGAGAGTCTGTTCTGACATATAACCACTCTGTATAGAGTTTCCCAGGCTTTTGAAATCTTTTCAGGAGCAGAAAACCTCATCTTTCTCCCTCAGAGCAGCTGGTGGGCTCAAACCAGTAGGTCACTAGTAATGTGTAGATTTGGGATTTAATCAGTTGCTTGCTTAAATGAGAGAAATCTTCCTCTTGAGATGTTGATGATCATGAGATATGTAAGAAATGGAATTGAGTTTTAGAAATTACCTTTTAACTCTTAAAAAACTGATCAGAAAATACTTAAGCAAACAAAAGTTCCATTCCCTACTGCCTTTTAAGTTCTTTCTCCCTTTCTCCCCAAAACCAGCAGTTCCTTGGAAATGAAATTGTTACAGGGAAGGTAGGGAGCGTTATTCTCTGGGCCGCCCATGTTCTGGAAAGAAATGTAAAAATTATTGAAGTCTATTTATTTATTTTCTGGAAATTAGTACTTAACACACATTTTGTTTAATCTCCATAGCAATTCTTAAACACTTTTAAGGTGATTTACTATGTTAGAATGACTTCAAAATCTTTTATTTTGGTCTTTTTTTGTAATAAAGAATGGTAATAATTTTCTGATAAAATTGAATATGTAAATAACCCACCCAAATAACCCCAAAATCCTAACTGTGGCTCTGTGTCTAGTTTAAGGTGATTTTTTTTTTTTTTTAATATTAAACGTGCCAGTTGACGTTTGTTTTAAAATTAGGTACTTTTTTTTTTTTTTTTTTGTATAAAAATGTGTTGTGAAATGAAGCACTGTTAGTACGTCTAATGGGCTAGGTATTAGAGCTTTCCTTTTGGGTAGAGGAAACTAGAAAGGGCTTTGGAGCTATAACTTGATTTCATTGTTAGAGAGCATTGGTGTTCACATTTTAAAAACATAATCATAACTTACTTAGAGTCACATGTTCCATTTTATTGGCTTCCTTCATTTAGAAAATATAGTCACCAGTACTAAATGCCTGTGAAAAAGTGAAGCAATGTATATTTTCTGGGTGAAGGAAGTATTCTGTACATTTTCCATGTTTACATCATGGTATTTTGAATAACCATGCTTCCATGTTCACATCAATTTTTTGTTTTTCAATTTATGCACAGCACTTGCTCTGAAATTTGGGGACTGAGTACACCAAATACGATAGATCAGTGGGATACAACAGGCCTTTACAGCTTCTCTGAACAAACCAGGTGAATATTCTGCCCTCTATGGAATCCTAGAGATCTGTGGGAGGGGGGGCGTTTGGAGGACCTTTAGTGGGTTGATTAGTATAATTTCTGCCTAGGATGTTTCCTTTATGTAAAATATGGCATAGCATTTAAAATATTTGCTTGCCACTATTAAAACTATACTAAATGTTTCAGCTGATGTTTTGATCAATGAGGTTCTATTTTTGAGTTTAAATCATTGCATCCCCTTAAAGAACAGGAACTATGATAACTATATGCTCAGTTTGAGATTAGATTATAATCTCTAGTTGGCCTAATTTGTAAGTAGTTACGTATCCAATTTGCTCTAAATTTCTTGCTATCATCTAAATCTCATCTTCTTTATACTAATAAATATACAGAGTTATTTATTGAAACCCTTATATCACAATTAATGCTAGGCTAACTTGTTTCTATGTTTTGGTTTTTTAATCACCATAATCTCTTTTTTGGGCATATTGGTACTTTTCCATTTCATCTCATCATATTCATCACCATCTACATTTATGTGTGACCTATATAAATATACCTCAGTACTCAAAACAGTCACAACGGGGTAACAGGTTACATTAGACTGAGTAAGTTACTATCACATCATTGTTGTATTTACCATTCTTTACATTAGTTCCTTTTTTGGATAATTCAGCCACCTGCAGAATCAGTACCTTAAGAAGCATCCCTAAGTAAGAATTTGATTTCCTAAAATAGAAGCTGACAGTTTTCTAGTCTAGCTGTATACTATTATAAAAATCAGTTTCTTCCCAAGTGGTTAGCCGGTCATTGCCAAGGGAGGCCCTTCTGTAACCTGTTGATGAAAAACTTCTGCTAGCACTGCTGCTTATTCTGATCTCAGATCCATTAAATAGTGCACATTTCCTAATTTCACTAAAACTAACTAAATGTCTATCATTCCTTTCCTTATGCTCTTGTGTACTGATAGTGCCCATTTGACTACACCTATTTGTTTAAGCTCTCGCCTTCCTTTTCCCCTTGCTTCCTGTAGGTCTCTTGATGGTCGTCTTCAGGTGTCTCACCGGAAGGGATTACCCCATGTTATATATTGCCGACTCTGGCGCTGGCCAGACCTTCACAGTCACCATGAACTCAAAGCCATTGAAAACTGCGAATATGCTTTTAATCTTAAAAAGGATGAAGTCTGTGTAAACCCTTACCACTACCAGAGAGTTGAGACACCAGGTAGGGAAATTGCACTTCTAGTTTAAACTAAATGAATGCTTGAATTTCAATGTATTTAGGCACTGGTATGACTTGGAGAAAGTTTTCTGTAAGGTACCAGTAATTCCCTGTAAGTTCAATATATTAGTTGTTACTTTTATTTTTAAAAGTTTAATTTTTTTAATGGAAATACATGTCTTAGAGTGAAGGAGTAATCCATTTCTTGGAGTAATTTACTATTCAACATAAAGATACCTATCCAGGCAATTCTAATCCCACAGATTTGCAGTCTGCTTAGAACTAAATTTAAGGCTCTGTGCTGCTTTGATGCAATAATTGCTTTCAAGCATTTTGCTCCTTGAATGCTTTTAGAAGTACCGTAATGACATCATCTGTATATAAGCAGTTTTAGTAGAGTTCATAGCAAGACTTAGTTAGCTGAAGCTGTTTTTGTTTTTTAAATTTTTTTTATCTGGTTTCGACAAATTCAGGCAAATCTTCAGTTTTTTTCAGTGGGGAAGGGATTTAGGAACTTCTATGGTAATATAATATTACCAGAGCCACATTGTCTACAAAAGTCTGAGATAAATTAGGACTTGGAAATTTATATTGTGGACTGTCTGAAAGCTAAAGCTGTAATTAAATGTCAATTTCTTAATAACTAGCATATCGAATAGGGAAACTTCAAAAGTTGTTACTGTCAAGTTGATTCTGACTCAAGCTGACCCCATGTATGTTTGAGTATAACTATGCCCCATGGGGTTTTCACTGGCTGCTTCTTTGAAAGTATATCACTAAGCCTTTCTCTTGAGGTGCTTTTGGGTGGGCTTGAGCCTCCAACTTTTCAGTTTAGTATGTTAACTGTTTGTACCACCCACTTTTTTTTGGGTGAAAACTTTCTCTTTTCTTTTTGCCATTAATTCTCATTTCTTTTACAGTGTTGCCTCCAGTATTAGTGCCCCGCCACACTGAGATCTTAACAGAACTACCACCTCTGGATGATTACACACACTCCATTCCAGAAAACACGAATTTCCCAGCAGGGATTGAACCACAGAGTAATTACATCCCAGGTATTTTTTGGCTTCTGAGTCTCCCAGAGCAAATTTTATTTGGATGGATGCAAATTTTATTCCTAAACATTTTACTACTAGTAAATTGAGATTTGACTTTTCTTTTTTAAAAGGCTTCTGGAGTTTGAGTAGAAAAATCTGATATATCTTATGATATGTGTATATGCACAGTACTTTAAATATTTTTGTCTTGAAACAAATTTTACTTTACATTTCACTGATTTTTGCAGTGGCTTTAATCAAAGTACTGTGTGATAAGCAGGGAAGAAAGATCTTAAGTAAGTTTGTCCTAGTTGTTGACTCTAAGAGATAAGTAGAATGTAAGCAAAATAAAATGGTACAGGAAAAATATTATATACTCCTGAAAGAAAAATAATTAAAAATTGACCAAATTATCACCATTTCTTAGATAGTTTGATTATGTTTAAAGGAAATGAGATACTTCCTTAAGAAGTACAACACAGTATTTTATTTCTATAGATGATGATGTTAAACGCTGTTGTGTTGGTTTCTGAGGGTATACATCTTTGTGGGAGCAGAAAGCCTCATCTTTCACGAAGCAGATGGTGGATTCAAACTACAAGTCTTGTGGTTTGTGTCTGCATAGTACTTATATAAAACCACCAAACTCCTTTTTATAAATGTTGTTGTTAAATGCCAGTGAGTCAATTCTGACTCATAGTGACCCTGTAGAGTTTTTGAGGTGTGGCTGGTGAACTTGAACTGCTGACCATGTGGTTCAAATCGACTTTGCAGTCCAGTGCATTAGACCACGGTGCCACACCAGTAGTCCTTTATATATGTGATGATGTAGATATTGGTAAGTGCTATTGAGTTGGTTCCCCCCCCCCCCATAGTGACCCTGTAGAGGGTTTCCAAGGAGTAGCTGGTGAGCTTGAACCACTGACTCTGTAGCTCAAACCAACTTTGCAGTCTAGCGTATTTGCCCACAATGCCTTTATAGATGTTGTTGTTGTTGTTAAGTGCCGTCGAGTCGGTTCCAACCCATAGCAACCCTGTAGCCACACTTAAATGTTGAACTGAAAATGAGAAAATCTCTTACTTTAGTTCTATTTCATCTAGACATCAATAAGTCCTGATGGAAAATGGTAGATTCAAACTGCTGACCTTGTGGTTAGCAACCCAACTCATAACCCACTCCATTACCAGAGTTCCTTAGGTGATCTAGTCTGTTGTGGTCGTGGTGTGCTGTGGAGCTGGTTCCGACTCATAGCCACCCTGTACAGGGTTTCTGAGGCTGTAAATCTTTATGAGAGCAGAAAGCCTCATCTTTCTCTTGCGTAGCAGCTGGTAGTTTTGAACTGCTGACCTTAAAGTTCGCAGCCCGATTCATAACCACTACACTACCAGAGCTCTATTAAAACAGAGACCACTGTTTTTCTGTAAAATTAGGTATTTAAAAAATTGCATATAACACAACAAAAAAGAAACATGTAAATAAAGTAAGAAAATACTGCTTATTCTCCTAAAAATAGTGAAAACTAAAACGGCAGCTACTTAAATAAATTGGATTTTTATTGAAGACAGTTTTAAAAAAAGAAAAAATACGTAATTTAAAAATAGCCCATTTTACAAAAAAACAGTGGTGTCTAGTTCTTTTAATGTACATTTATGTTTATAATTTTATGCCAAAAGAGGCTGCTTTTTGAGGTGCTAAGAAAATAAGTGTTTAGTTAGTAGGAAAGGTGTGACTAAAGTAAGTAAGATGAAGGAAAAGGGTGAAACAGGACATTGCCTGGGCAGAAGAACTAGGCCTTTTTCCCTAGACTTGACCTTGCGTGGCAAAGTAGGCATTTAACGTCATTGAGGTGGGAAATAGTTATTTGTCAGTAACACATGGAAACTTAGGTATACCCAGTAATTATTTGGAAGGGTGCCAACCAAAATGTGTAGTGGCTCTCACTTGTAGAAATGTGTGTGCAGGTTTCCCCTTTCTGTGTACCTTTGTTTGTTTGGGTTTGGGTGTTTTAGAAAATAAAATATCACAAGTTGATTGTATCCTATTTGCTTCTCTAGACAAGTTAGCTATGAAAAATAAACAATCAAGAAAAGTTGAAGAAACAAAATAGGATAAAGTTTATACAATTCAACAGTTGTATTTAGACCTTTGCAACACTGGTGTTAAACTGGCAAAATGTAGCTTTGTTTAGTTTTATTAACTTCAGCCTTTAAAAAACTGTGTGTAGTGACGTGTATCCTTTTTATTTTTGTGTTTCTTTATTATTTAAGTATACTTAAACTGTATTATTTAAGTATACAAGGTATTTTAATTTATTCTCAGAATTTCAACAGTGAGAGTTTAAAATGGGACAACCACTATGGAAATATTTTGACAATTCCTCATACAATTAACCATAGAATTATATGATCTAGCAATTCCACTTCTAGGTCCATTCCCAAGAGACTTGAAATTAGGGGCTGAACCAGATGCAAATTCACCAGTGTTCACTGAAGCTTTGCTCACCATAGCCAAAAGGTGAAACCACCCACGTGCCCCATCAGCAGATGATGGAGAAAAATAAAAATGCATGTACATATAACAGAATATTACTCAGCTATAAGGTGAAATGAAATACCTAGAATACATATATGAACCTTGAAAGCATGCTGAGTGAAATAAGTCATACACAAAAGGACAAATACTGTATGATCCCACATAAAATATCCAGAATAGGCAAATGCATAAAGACCAAAGTTTATTAGTGGCTACTTGGTACTAAAGGGTAGGGAAAATGAGTTCTTCCTTAAGAGGCTCGGAGTTTCTGTTAGGAGCCCTGGTAGCACTGTGATTAAGTGCTCAGCTGCTAACTAAGGAGGGCAGCATCTTTATCCAGTCAATCCATAAGAGAAAGATTCTAGTTCTTCATAGGAGGTTTTGGGCTAGATGAGTTCAGGACCATCTAACCACATTTTACCTTATAAAGCTTACTGTAGAGTGGTAGCCTGTGGTACTCATTGTCTGAAATCATGTGAGTATGCGCGCCCTTTTGTATGTTTTGTGTCCTTTAGTCATCTCCTAAAGTACCCAGCATGAAGTCCATTGAATCAAAACATTATAGGTACTTTGAAGCATACTGAGTCAGAATTGAGGCTTCTTTCAAATTATATTTTTGGCTCTAGCCCTAGAAAATGTACATGTACATATGGGGATTTGCCAGATATGTAAATAATTGCTAAGAAAATATGCTCAGATTTTTATTTGCCTCTAATGTGTAGATTGGGATCTAAGTCAGAAGCATTCAATGTACATCACTGTTTTTTTTATAGTAATATTAAATAAAATCCTTATTTGTTATTTGGAGTGTTAGGTCGGGTATCTTTGATAGCTGGATGAAAAGATCATGAGTTAATTTTACTTGATTTTATTTTAAACTTTTATAGAAACACCACCTCCTGGATATATTAGTGAAGATGGAGAAACAAGTGATCAACAGTTGAACCAAAGTATGGACACAGGTAAAAATGTTGCCCAAAATTCCTCAGTAATTAGATATACATTTATTGCCTTGTTAGAAACTCATAAGAGATATTCCTCATTTAATGTAGAGAAGCTGAGAAAAATTTTTTTTCAAAATCTCACAAGAATCCGGTCTTCTATTGTGATCTAATCATGTCTTAGCCATCGATGTAATTTATTTGTTAAAAAGCACTGTAACTAGAATACAATGGCATTGAGAAAATAGTATGTGCTCTGTCTTCTACAGTAATTGTTAGATTTGTCTCGTGTTAGAGTAAATAGAGAATTGAGATATTTACTCTCTTTCTTTTAAGTATTTTATACTTTTAATGTCTTAATTATTCTATTAATAAATATTTCTTTGTGATAAAAGGCTGTAATTTTTAGCTCAGTGACAGATTTTCAAATGAATTTTAGTCTGATGGATGGAGATATCCCTCATTGTTCCTTTAACTTATTGCTGAGTTCTGAATTGTAGAAGTTTTACATCAAATATCTTGTTCTGTTTGTTGATGAGACTTTTGTTTCTCCATTAATTTCCCCTGGCGCCTTTGTTGAAAACCAAGTGATAATATATATGTAGGCCTGACTTTGGGGTTACCATTGTTATTAAGTTGTTTCAGACTCATATGGACGCAGTATAGAGTTTCTGAGGAGCAGTTGGTAGATTTGAACTGCTGACCTTGTGGTTTGCAGTCCAGTGCTGATGCTATAGCATAACACCAGGAGTCTGGGTTTACTGTTAAAGCCCTTTTAATGAATTCTTCAGTTCAGATTTGTCTATTTATCAGTTCTACAATTTCCAGTTAAAGTCTTTTTTTATCTGTTTATTCTGGTGTCTCATTCATGTTTATGTCAGTTTCTGTTGACTGTTCTCTTGATTATAGGTCAGTTTTTCTTATTTAATAATGATTTCATATTGTGTATGAAAAGAGTGATATAGATAATATTTTCCTTCAGAAAGATGCATTTTTTCCTTCTCTGGCTGCCCAGTAGAAGCTTATTTCTTCGAACTAATGGGGAGTTGAAGCTAGTGGATGGATGATGATTTGTTATTTTAGTTCATGTTTCATTACCTCAGGTTTCAGGGAGGCTCAGCCTCACACCTCAGCCAGACTTTCAGATGTAAGTGTGGTGCGACTGAAGGCTATCACACTGTCCTCCATCCCTGCTCAAACTTACGGTGCCGCCACATACTCAGCTAAAGGCCTATGGGTCAGACTTGGCTAGTGATGCTTTGTTACTGGGTTCCTGTGTGTCTTAGCATTTTAGTTGGTTTCTCCTTTGGCAAACCCAGTCCTTAGTTTGTGTATGTCCTGACTTGACACAGGCTCCATTGATGAAAGTCTCCACTTAGAAACAGCTCATCTGTCTCTGTAAATTAGTTCATCTGTATTTATTTGTTTCTACAACTCTTTGATTATGTTCAAGAAACATATAATTTTGTAGTCTATTCTGGTATTGTTATTGCAGTTGTTGTTGTTAAGTGCCTTGAGTTGGTTCCAACTCATGTTGGTCCTGTATAGGGTTTCCAAGGAGTGGAAACCTTATGGTCCAGTGCATTATCCTGCAGTGCCACACTGATATTATTGTTATTGTAGTACTAAGAGCATTACTTATTAATTTATATTCTCACCATGACTGCAACCCTGTGAGTTACTTATTTTTTAAAAGGAAGAAAATTCTTTATGAACAGAATTCATGCTCATAGAAATTTTGGAAATGCATGAAACATCTGATCACGTATCACGTATTTTATATTTCTTAAGCTAGATGTTTTCATGATTCTTCTATTCTTTTTGCAGATTCTTTTATAGAACATTTCACATAAAATGTTGTATCACTCCCCCACTTTTGTGTTTTTTTGGCTTAGTCTCATACTTCTACCATTATTCTCTGCCAAATAAAAAATAATATTTTACAGATAAAATTAATATGTGACATTTTGAATTGCACAAGAAATAGATGCTCATTATTAAAATTAAAACAGATAAAAAAGCAAATTCAAAATCACATGTTAATTATATCACTTAGCAATAATTGTAATTTGAGAAGGTTCACATATACTAAACCAAACCTAATACTGCAATGAACATCACAGAAAAATAACTAAAAAATGAGAGGAATTCACACCTAGCAAGTAAGACTCTAAGAGAGTTTGTTCTTGACTATCACTCTAGACTGCCTGGCTGATTTCAGATGGCAGCCAGAAATGGGTGCTGTGACAATCTCTCTCTGAGGTAGGACTTAACTGGTGGTTCGACAGGGGGTAAGGTTAAAGGAGTTACTCAGCATGATTTTTAGTTTTCTCTCAGGCTTGTGAGAGATACTGGTCTGTACTCAGTAAATTAGCTATAATATAAGCATGCATTTAAAACCATTTTGGGTATAAAAACAAAGAAAAGCTGTGGGTATATTTAGCCCTTCTAATTTTCACTGTAATTTGAAAGCAAAGGAGAGAAAGTTAAATGATTTTGAGGCCTCTAACTTTGCTGCCCTTTTACTATATGTATCTTTCCCAAGTTTTTTTTTTCTTCCCTTTTTTCCATTGGAGTGATGCTGGCTGGGTTGGTATGTTAAAACTTTTAAGGTGGTGTATTTCTTTACTGTTAATTTTGCTTAGGAAATAGAAATTAATTTTAATATCACCTCAAACATTGTAAAATAAATCTTAAAACTCATCTCATACTAAAGTGAATTCCATTTGAAGCAAACACTTAAATGTAAAAAATGAAACCCTACAATTTCTATGATATGACATTAAAGAACTACTATATATATATTTTTTTTTTCTTCTTTTTTTTTAGTAATTAGAGTAAAAATAGGCAAAACAGGATGGTAGGAGATTCATTGATTTGAATAAAGAACATTTTTAATGTTATCTGGAAACAGACCAATAAACAGGAAAATATTTGCAAATGTATGACTATTTTGATAATTAATGTTTATATTTTTAAAATCTTATAAATTATGGGAGTCCTGGTGTGGTGCTTTAGGATAAGCACTTGACTGCTAACTGTAAAGTTGGTAGTTCAAGCATACAAGCCACTCCTTGGAAACAGGGTCATTGTGCGTCAGAACTAACTCAACAGCACGTAACAACAACAACATAATAAATCAAGAGGAAAAAGACAGTCATTAGTAGAAAGATGAACTAACAGAGCAGGAGTGCACTATTTTCAATAAAAACAATAATAGTTGTCACTTTAAACCTATCATGTTCACAAATGTCAACCTATTTGATAATACATGTAGTGGTGATGTGAAGAAATACTACTAGTTTATTAGTTGTAGGTGGGGCTAAACATTTTTTGGAAAGTATACAGGTACATATTTCTAAGAATTTAACATATTGCTTTTGCTCTAACATTTCCTCTTTGAAAAAACATGCACCTTGAATATATATGTGAATTTGTTTCCAGAGACACATGCAGGAAGAATTTCTCTAGATGTTTTAGCTACAAGTAACTGAAACTGCTGATCTAAGCAGTCTTTAACAGTGAGGATATTTATTACCTCCTGTAACTGGAAATCTCATGGTAGGCCAGACTTCAATAGCAGCATTTATATATGAATATTTAATAGATTATAAATTCCTTAACTCTGTTTTTAAAAAAATGTTTTCTAAAAGGTTTTGTTATCTGAAGTTTAGTTTTTAAATTTCATAAATGATGGTAACTGTAAAAAATGATGTGATGTCAAACCATCCTTCCATAGCACTCATTGTTCAACTGAGTTTGATAATTCTTTGCAGTGACCACACAGAACTCAGATACCATACTTACAGTTGTGGCGGTTATTTGGAAAGGTAACAGGTTGTTGTCAGGTGCCATTGAGTCGGAACCGACTCATAGCGGCTCCATGCACAGCAGAACGAAACAATGTCCGATCCTGGGCCAACCTAACTACCACTGCCACACTTGAGTCCATCAGTGATGCCACCTGGCCAATCCATCTCGTTAGGGGTCTTACTCTTTTTCTCTGACCCTCCACCTTACCCAGCATGACATCCTTCTCTAGCGACTGTTCCCTCCAGACAATATGTCCAAAGTATGAGAGACGAACCTTAGCCATCTTGGCCTTCAAGGAGCACTCTGGTTGTACTTCTTCCAAAACAGATCTATTGGTTCTTTTGGCAGTCCATGGCACTTTGAGTATGCTCCTCCAACACCACAACTCAAAGGCATCAATTCTTCTACGATCTT